GACTGGGAAAAGGAGGTGGGAGAGGGGAAGAGAAAGGCTGGGAGAGGGGAGGGCAACTAACATGATCAGGGGTTGGGAACAGGTCCCAGATGAAGAAAGGCTACAGAGACTGGGACTGTTCAGCTTAGAAAAGAGGAGACGGAGGGGGGACAGGATAGAGGTCTCTAAAAGCAGGAGTTGGGTGGAGAGGGTGCATTCAGAAAAGTTCTTCCTGAGTTCCCATAAAGAAGGACTAGAGGACACCAAAGGAAAGGAATGGGTAGCAGGCTTGAAACTAGTAAGAGAAAGTTGTTCTTCTTCCCAAAGCAAATAGTTAACCTGTGGAACTCCTTGCTGCAGGAGGCTGTGAAGGCTACAACTAGAACAGAGTTTAAAGGGAAGTGAGATCAAGTGATGGAGGTTGGGTCCATGGAGTCCTATTAGCCAGAGGGTAGGAGTGGTGTCCCTGCCCAAAGTTTGTGGAAGTCTGGAGAGGGATGGCACGAGACAAATGGCTTGGTCACTGTCTTCGGTCCATCCCCTCCAGGGTCCCTAGGGTTGGCCGCTGTTGGCAGACAGGCTACTGGGCTAGATGGACCTTTGGTCTGACCCAGGACGGCCATTCTAAGCTCAGGGCTCAGTGGCGGGGGTCTCAGTGGACCCCCTTGATTTTCATGCACACCTGGTCCTGGGTGGCCAGGCTGGCAGCTCTCCTGCCCTAGACGGCCACTTTCCTGTGCCTAGTGCAGAGATCGTGGATGAGGTCCACGATGTCCGCACTAGCCCAGGAAGGTGCCTGCCTCTTGTGGTCCAGGGGAAGCTCCCGGGAGCCGCCAGCCTGGTCCCGGCAAGAGGGGGTGGGCTGGGGGGCATCGGGTGGGTGGCTCTGTGCTGTGCCAGGTGCAGGGTCTGCTAGCTGGGTGCTGGCAGGCTTGCACCTGGCACGGGCACCATAGCCAGCCCGTGCCCCTTTAAGGGGTCCGGGGCCGGGAGGGGGGCATAGAGTTTCCCTGGTGTTGGCCAGAGTGGCCACCAGGGAAACCTGGGGAGGGCTAGCCTCCCACTAGTTCGAACTAAAGGGCTACACAGCCCTTAGTTCGAACTAGCTAGTTCGAACTAGGCGTTAGTCCTCGTAAAATGAGGTTTACCTAGTTCGAACTAAGCGCTCCGCTAGTTCGATTCAAATTCGAACTAGCGGAGCGCTAGTGTAGCATCTATTAAAGTTAGTTCGAACTAACGTCCGTTAGTTCGAACTAACTTTGTAGTGTAGACATACCCAGAGAGACTAAGTTCACTGGAGAGTAATTGGTGATGAGCAATAAAGGAAAATTCTCCTCTGAAGTTGCCTCACTTGAAGATTTGTTATGTATTTATTTCAACTGAAATACAAAGAGGACACCTGTTTCAAGATCCAGATACTCTATCAAATAGCTAAACAAATTATACAAAGAATAGTGATGCAGAAATGTAACAGTCTCTTCACAAAAATTAAATGGAGATAACCAAATCGAACCAGAAATGTAAACAGCAAAGAATATACCATCTCACATAAAGCCCTTACTTCCCCCCAAAGCCTTAGCACATAGATTTTCTTTCCAGCATACTCAAAAGATCAACAAATTCAGGATAATTTGTTGTAAAACTCCAGTCATGTGAAGAAGTGGGCTGTACCCACAAAAGCTCATGATACCATCTACATGTTTTCTTAGTCTATAAAGTGCTACCAGACCATTTGTTGTTTTTTTCTGTACAGACTAACTCGGCTATCCCCTCATAGTTTGGTCCAAGCAGGGAGGAAGTTCAAAAGCCAAGACCCTCAAAGAACACACCCCGTCATCAGCTCCCTCTCTTTTATATATGGGGTTTCTGACAGAAGCTGTGGCTATTTCATGAGAAGGACAGTCTTTTAAATGGTTTGGTCTTAGTCCATTTAGACTTGTATCCAGGTCTGCCAGCAGAAGGGGGACAATGAGGGCAGTTGCTTCAGGGCACGGTGGTGGCCAGAGCCCCAGGTCTTTTAAATCACTGCAGGAGCATTGTGCTGCACACACTGTCCAGTGCTAAGAGCTAGGCCGTGAGGGGCGGGGGGGGGAGGGGGAGAGGAGAGAGCAGGAGCTCATCCCTTTCAGGGACGCGGAGCCACCCTCCTCCCTTGCAAAGGGGCCTGTGGAGGCTGTCGGCTCCACTGCTTGTATTGGGTCATAAGCAACACCTTTAAATTTCATCTAGAATCTAGCAGGATAACACAAGATATACTGTACTGGTGTCATAGGCTCCTGCTAAAATGTACTGCTTAACAAGCAAACTCCTACTACCCTTCACCAACTTGGAAGAAGACTCCAAATGAGGCACATTGCAGGAGTGTCATCTTGAGGTGACAAAAGCATAGATACCAGTTGTGAGGTCTGCACCTAAAAGAAAAGGTTTCAGGATCCAAAGCAGACACAGATAGAAAAAAAGCTATTCTAGTCACTGATGCCATAGGAGTGTATAAAACCAGCTGGCAATCTAACAATGCTCTAAGGTCTCAATGAGCAAGACACTGAAGTACATGTCTAATTTTTAGTATGCAACTAGTCCAACTGACTTCAAAGGGATGACTCCCATGCTTCACGTTAGGCATGTGCTTCAGCACTTCGCTGAATCTGGCTTGAGATGTGCAAGAGAACTCAGGAGACCAACAGCTAATGAAAACCCTAAGTTAAAGGGAATAATTTTTGCCATCGCCTTTGGTTGCTTTCCATATTATCACCTCAGGCTTGTCTGGGTTGAATTCCAGACAGACTCTCTTTCATCACTTCCCCACATTGACTAATGCTCCTCATCTCATAAGCTGAATTTGAGATAACAGAGGTTCAGAGCAGGGTGCCACCTGCATACTGAAAATACCATAACTCTTGCCTCCTTACTAACTAATGCTCAGAGGTGGATGAATGCACCTTAAAATCCTCGGTTGGGCATATTATAATTTAATTGCCATTATTAAATAGCAGGAGAGACTTAGTCAGGACAGTTGAGCACTCCACATGCTCATATCTGCAAAATAGCCCTTGAGGAGCTGCTTAGAACTCCAAAGCAATTTCTCTCCCTGGACCACATCAAAGACACTGCTCCCAGGTTTCAGTCCTGATGCTGAGTCTCAGATGAGGCAGGAAGCTTATGCTTCAAATTCTTACCCAGCTCAGCTGGGGTGTTGGTAGATGTAGGTAGTGCAGAAGTGTGGTGGCTTGAGATGTGAGGGAGCCATGTTAGTTCTATCAGATGTTTATCTGGAAAGCCAAAGTAGGTACCTGCTAAGACTAAACTTACAGAGAAGCCTACAGGCTTGGGAACCCAGAATTATTTGTTTTTAAAACCTCCTGATTCATTTGGCAGGTTTCTGCACATTATTCGGAGCTAGAGAGCTCTCTCTCAATACTCTGACTCATATGGAAACCTTTTGTTGCTCTTTTCTGCACCTTCTCCAATTTCTCTACATCTTTCTTGAAAATGACTCCCCCCCACCCCATCCCACAAGCCAGGCTTAGCAATAGTGAGGGCTGCAGCCCAAAGGCCATAGCAGATCGCGCCACAGATGCAGACCTATTCTTCACAAGGTAATGGGTGGAGGGTCCCCATTCTTGCTCCTTGCTGTCTGAATCTTGGATGCCCTCCAAATGCCATTCTAGAGGAGGTGAATGGACTCTGCAGAGGATGCAGTATGATTTAAATTGCTGTTTGACTGGTACTTAGACAATGTTCAAGACGACATTTAAACCCCACAATCACAATAATTGTATAGTACTCAAAACATTTATAGGGTTGTTCAAACATTAACTAACCCTCACATTGACCCAGAGATGTAGATAAGTATTTTTATCTCCATTTTTGAGATGTGGAAATTGAAGCAGGGTGAATATATTGTTTAGGGATCACACAAGAAGTCAGAATCAAAGCTCAGGAGTTCCTGATCTGAAGTTACAGTATTAGCTAAACTTCAAGTGAAAATGAGTGACTGTTCTCTCTAGAGAAGAAAATCCAAATTGGTGTCCTCTAAGGCTAGATCTGAGAAATGCTACAGAATACAGACTTTCATAGTTTGTCCTGCAGGCTAATCACCAGCTTTTAAATAACTCCACTATAATACTGGAAAAACAGAATTGCCATTACCAACTCAAATAATAGCTTGCACATAGCCTTTGAAATTACAGCTTTCTTGAATGAGAGAGGGATTGCTAGCTAGTATATTAAGGTTGTTCTTTATTCCTTTTAAAATGTCATAGACATGCACTCAGACAGCTACCGTATCTTATTAAAGATCAACCCCAGTTTAATGTCCCTGCTTAAAAATGGTAGATTTGTAATATACTAATAAACTATGCAAAAAAATCCCAAAATTGATTTTTCTTACAAGCATCTTTGATAGAACAATGTTCTCTCTGACTTTTTAGTTTAATTTTTTTTCTATCTGTCATGCTCCTCTATCACCATCCTTTCCCAGCTGATGGTAGAAGCATGCCTGACAGTTACCATGCATTGAGAGAAGCCCCTAAATAACCTGTCACAAGTATTCAGAATATGCATGCTGAGCAATTTTATGAACATTTTCAATAGGTGGTCTCATTACTTGAAACAGGATAAGCTGGTTACCACCACCAATGATCTTTCATTTAAACTATGAATTGATTAAAAAAAAAAATCTATAGCTTTAAAAAGTCTATAATGCCTGTGGCAGGCCCCTCCCACCTGCCCTCTTAAGTCCAAGGCCCTCTGGCCTGAGTCCACAACACAGTTCAAAGCTGGCCCTCTAAAACAAGGCCAAGGCCTTTCGGCCTGAGTCCATAACACTGTTCAGGGTTGTAGCAGGGACAAACCCCAGGAAGGGGGACTCAGGCCCACCCTACTCCACCGGGTCCCAGCCCAGGGCCCTGTGAGCAAGCGGGGAGCAGGTCACTCCCTCAGCGGGGCAATCCGGCCAAAATGCACCGAGGTTCTCTGGGCAGGAGAGGGGGAGCCCCCTTCTGCCCTGGGCCACTTCCTACCTGGTTCCCTGGGACTCCTTCCCCTGTCCTCACCCAGCTTGCTGCGACCTCTGGGCTGGCATCTCCTCGGCAGGCAGTTCCTGGGTCGCACCAGCTCGCCTCCGCGTCCCCTCCGGCCTTTCCTAGAGTCTCTGGCAGCCACTGTGCAGGAACCCCCTTCGCAGGTCCTTCCCCTCTGGCTGTCTCCCCAGACTGGGTCCTTCTCCAGGCTTTTATAATGGAGCTACAGCCCGGGCATGCTTGGTAGGGTTGTGGGGGAGGGGCCTCTGCAGCCAGGTAACCCCGGCTGGGCCCTGCAGGTTCAGTGCGGGGCTGCTTCGCCCCGTCACAGTGTCTAACATGTGTGCAGTGTTATATTTTATCTTGTGGACTTTACAACAGTAAAGGAATAACAATGATACAGAACAAAACAGCTTTTGGTCTCTTTCTTAGTGCAAGAATGATACCACAAAACTATGTAGATTGATGGAGACTAATTATGTTGGTTTAGAAAAAACAAGGAGTCATGTGGCACCTTAAAGACTAGTAGATTTATTTGGGCTGTGGCCCACAAAAATAATTACATTTATTAATCTTTAAAGGTACTATAGGACTTTTTGTTGGTTTTGCTGAAACAACTAATATGGCTACCCCTCTGAAACTGTGTAGACTTAGATTCTGCAGGGGCAACTGCAATGCAAAGTATGAATGCACGCTTCAGAAGAATTTGCCTACCTGAAAATAAAAAGTTTGTGTAAAAGTAGGCCATTAGCATTTTTTTTTCATTTGAGAGGCACAGAATGCACAAGAAGTTTCTAATTACTTCACAGACTTCTTATCTGTATATGAGAAACAATTGAGGTCAGTTGGCTTTTCTGGATGTCCTTCCATAGTTCAACTGCTAGATACTGTACCTAGTGGAGATAATCCTGTGTGTAATATATTCCATCTGTTGCAAGACTGAAATGAACATTTGGTTCTCTGGCCTGCCAAGTGAGCTGCTATTAGCTGCCAACGTGTAATTGTAATATGTTAAAAAGGAGAAAAAGCTTGCTGAATTTCATGACTCTCACATGAAAATGTGACTTTGGAAAACAATTGCTAGAGTGGCATAAGGTAGAAGAGAAGTGAATTATTCATACCCACTTTTTTCTTTTTCCCCTTTTTCCCCTTTCAGGTATTTCAAGCCTCCGTCTGCTTGTACCAGTGTTCCCAGCAGCATCTATCAACAGCGAGTAGATTGTGACAGTGCTACTGCATGACTTTTGCAGCTGCCAAGAACTGGAATCCAAGTGCTTAGCAGCACATGGACATATTCAGGTATCCTGATTTTCTCTTGATTTCCTTTCCTCCTAGATAAAGCATGTCAAGGAGGATAGAATGTCTTTAGTAGTCTTCAGTGCTGTCAATTTGATTAGGTCTAAGGAAATTTTAGATTCCAGTCACTGGGGGCAATAGCAGTTCATGTGGACATATGTGAGCTAGGTTTAATCTTGCTAGCTCAGCTCCCAGGACAGTGAATCTGTGTCAGAGTGTGCTTTGGTGCAAGCTAGCCCTATGGATCATTAACCAGGATTCCAAGTAAGTTTGTACAGTAGACTTCCGATAATCCAGAACCTATGGGACCTAGATGGTGCCGGATTATCAAATATGCTGGACTATCAGGAGGTACTATAAGCTGTTTATATATATACTGTATACATTATATACTGTATATAAAGTGTTCTTAACCCTTTTTATTGTACATACTGTATACAGTATACTGTAATGTTTTAGTTTTTGTAACCCTTTTTGCTCAGTTCAGCTGCTGCCGCTGTTACCTTGTGACTCATTTTTTGCTGAAGCTCACTCACTAGGCTCTTGCCATTTTGATGCCGGACTATCAGGAGTGCCGGACTATTGGATGCCGGACTATTGGAGTTTTACTGTATATAGCCTGTGCTATGGCATTTTTGTACTTCATTTCTCTGGTACCTGAGCTAGAGATATTCAGTCCCATCCCTTGACTGCAGGGTAGAAACATAGAAGCTACATCTACACTACACATTTATTTTGGAATAAGCTATTCTGGAATAGTTATTCTGAAATAGCTTATTTCAAAATGGCACATCTATACTGCAGGGAAGCCTCAAAATTAGTCTGAGGCAGGCTTCCCTAATGTAGACTTGCTAATTCTGTTTTGAGCCCCAGTAGGCACTGGGGAGGAATAAGTTAGAATGGCCCTGGTGAGGGGCTATTTCGAAATAGCAGAAGTGGAGCGTCTACACAGCCCCTATTCCAAAATAACTATTTTGGAATAGGCATTATTCTTCATAGAATGAGGTTTACAAAAGTCAGAATAAGCCTCCCGTTATTTCAAAATGATTTTGAAATAATGCTATTGCTGCATAGACACTCGCATAGTTATTTCAGAATAACAGCCATTATTCCGAAATAACTTTGCTGTGTAGATGAACTGAGAGAGAACCAGATTAGGGCAAGATATTGCACAAAGGTGTGGCTCATTTGTACATCAGTGAAGCAGGAGGACTTAAAACGGCCCCTGAAAGAGGAGCTAGGGATTTTCCTGATCAATGTAAAGGAATTATCTGGTGACATAAAGCCCCCTAGCTAGAGGGTCTGAGGCAAGGCTCCAGTACATGGTCTGACTGTTTTGGGTTAGTAGAACTCATGAATGTCTGATTCTCTGAGGAGCTAGTGTGGCAAAGGACATATAGTACAGGATGTAAATGCAAAAAAGAGTGAACCATACTGATGTTAATCAAAACCAAGAAGACGCAAGTGTCTGTATAGTACAGCAGTGTGCAACCTTTTTTCATTCATGACCCCCAGATCTCCTCCATCCAAAAAAAGCGCCGGGAACATTTTATTGAGCAAAAAAAAAAAAAAATACTGGGCGGCCGAAATGGAGTCGCGGCCCCTTTAATTGCCGCTCTCCTGCCACTCGCCCCAACCCCATGTGTGTACGGCTGCTGAGCCAGGAAAAGCAGAAAATACCTGCCGGCCAAATCTCAGCACTGCAACCCACCATGAGTTGCGCACCGCTGGTATAATACAATCTATAACAATCAGCCCAGTGCTCTCCTCACTCTCCAGGAAATACGAAATAGCCTGTCCAGGCAATTTTCTAGATTATTCTCCAGAAGAAATCTCTGCAAAAGCAAACAGTACCCCTGGACAGATTGGGCTGTAACACAAACAGTGTGTGAATTCTGTCTTCTTTTTTAGGAGGTGCCTAAATACCTTAGAGGATCTGGTCCTGAGTGATCACTGATCACCATATCACCAAGAACTCCTATTCAGCCAGCAGCTCTCTCTAGAACATTGACAAAAATGTAGTAGAACAAAGTCCAGAGCTAGATTTTGTGCATATAAATCTTGTTGAAAAACAACAAACAATATCGTTTGGTAAGCATAGGGAAAGTCTTGGATTAACTAACATGGATAACTAGAATCTTTGTAGGTGTGTCTTCTGCAGGTTAAATCCTGCTTCACTGTGAACCTCTCTTGCCCCCATGGCTGTTTTGTGGCAGTCTGCCATTTTAGTTGGTGACATGAGATTTCCTGCTGGACTTCCTACTCCTGATGGGGAGCTGGGAAAGAGCTGTGGCTGAGGTACTGCTGCACTCCTGCAATTCCTAGTTGCCAGTACAGCCCCTTAGGTTGTGTCTACACTGCACCTGGAGCTCAAAATAAGCAACACAATTTGAGCTACGCAAATTGGGTGGCTTATTTCAAGTTAATTTTGAAATAGCTTATTTTGAAATTTGGCACTATCTACACAGCACTTGTTTTGAAATAAATCTCTATTCCAAAACATCCCTTACTCCTCATGGAATGAGGTTTACAGGGACGTCGGAATAGCGAGCCCATTATATTTCAATATAACAGACGCACTCAAAAGACGGGGAATAGCTATTTCGGACAAGTGTACAAATAGGAAGACTTCTCTCCTCCCGCTGCCAAAAAAGCCATACAACGATCCATTTGCATATTAACATATCTAGATAAATGGCTCTCTTTCTAATTTCTATTAAGTAGTCCACACTTGAAATGCTATTTGTGGACAGTACACGTAGGCACTGGGATGGCTGGCAAATGAAAAACTTTTGGAAATACCACTAATAAAAATAAGGGTGGAAGGCAGGTTATCACAGAAATATCTTTACTAAAATATTTTAAGATTAACAAGGAGTTTAAGGTCTCAGGCAATGCAGGTGCCCAGAATGACAGGCTTTCCCCGTGCAAGATGATCCCACCTACAGACCTAGGCTCAGAGTAAAAAAAGAAATGGCAGAAATAGATTGTAGTTGTGAACAATGTCATGACTGTTGATGTGTAGAAATCACCTCAGGCAGAAGCAGGGCATAAACCCCTGGAAGTCAGGTTATCTTAGACTAATTAAAAAGAGCACTCACTCGGTCAGAACTTAATGTTCAGTATGGCTTGCTTCTTCCAGCCCACTCCCTTTCCCCCAGGACAATGAGCTCAGGCAGGATGCTCTTCACCTTGGCTGAATGCCACATTTTGAAGTGCACTCAGAATGCAAACTATATTAGCAACACATTCTTGCCTTCAGAAGAGGCTTTTTTAACTTTATGCCTTTCCCTTCTACTATTGCTGGGATAATTGTGAGCTAAATGCAATACAGGACTTCATAATTACACATATGTGGTTTGCCATATGTGTGGCTTTATTTATGTGGGAAGCCTTTTTGTCCCTGATGAACAACATTCAATGGAAGGATTATGCCTTCCAGTGTTTATAAATGTATTCTAACCAGATAATGCAGCTTTACAGGAGGTTTACACAAGGTCATATTAGACATTCTGCCCTGCTTTTTCTGTAATGTTACCTGCTTCCATCTGCCAGCAGAGCTGAAATGCCTACCTATCTCTGATACCTGAAAGCTATTTAGCTGCACTGTGTTTCCATAAATCAGTTTTTTCCCTGCTAATACATGTGAATTCTCTTCACCGTGTGGTACAGGGCAACATACATAAAACCAAAACTCAAGAGCACTTTAAGTGTGAGACCAATATTCAACCACAGCATTGTTACACAGTATTCCTTATGAAATAAAAAATACAGCCCTTGTGAAAAGGCCTGGTCTGTGATCCTCCTAAGGGAGAGCTGCAGAGCAATCTCCTGCTCTAGAGGCCCAGAAACACAAACATTGTCAATGCCT